TCAGAAAACATATTACGCAGCTAATCTTATCTTTGTCGAAGAAACAAAACAAATGCTTCACCACAACCCTAAATACTGCACTGATGATTACATCACGTCCCATTGTGTTTACTAATTTACATCTGTATATGGTCACATATACAAAGGGAGGAGTAATGGAGTCATGCAGTTGAAGGTAGGAGGACTTGTACTTAAATGGCTTCAAAAACAAATGGAGTGTGAAACCGTGGTAAAAGCTGGTGGGAGACGACCCTCTTTATCTATAGCTAAACATATCATAAAAATAGGTCAAAAAAACTAACGTTTAAACAGCTTTCAAGGTTTTATATAGAAACGGTTGGTGATGCATATTGAGATTTGCAGAAGCCATAGACGTTATACAAATTGAAACCATCTTTATACGTACAAAAACAATTTGTTCTTACAATACATCTACCTTGGTAAACTTTGTCTTCTTACCGAGATTAGGATCAACTGGATCACTTCCGGTTTATTCTCATCTTTCTTAATTTTAATCCTCTATTACATTAATTGTTATATATATATATATATATATATATATATATATATATATATATATATATATATATATATATATATAATTGACAAGTAAATGTGTGATCAGATTATTTCGAAATATATTGCGCAAACGCATCACACTGTTCAGATAAACTTCGTCTTCTAATTACGCTATAGACATATAAAATATAAGAATATTTACTCTACCTACAACTTTCTTTAAAATGCAAAGTTAACTTACGTAAGAAATCACATTAGTAATTAGATTCATAGTATATAAATCACAACAAGTTGTCTAATCTTTAATTAGTTTGCCTTTAGAAATAAAAGTTGATTAGTCAGTTCATTTCTGACAGTTTCTTCCTCCCACAGTGTGCAATCTAAATGCTGTATTATTGTACAGTATCTATATTTGATAGTACGTACATAAAACCCTATTTTACTTGCCCCTGGTTTTGGCTGACAACCGACATGCAGAGTTGTGAATAAACAGGATGCTGGTTACCTCATAAAATAACTCCTGCCATGTGTCTACATGAGTTAAGATATTTGTCCACAATAGTTTCAACCACAAGATTTAAAAGTACACCGTCGGTTCTACTCACAATCTTTCAAAACGTATGCAATACAGCGTAGTCCTTCTTCAGCAACTCGGGGAAAAATAAAGAGAAACGAGAGAGAAAAGCAGTCAAGATGAAGGAATTTATAAAACGCAATAAGAGATACGGAGTTATACTAGATACTCTCTGGTTCCCATTATAGAAAGTTAGAAGAAACATTCTCTCGGAACTAAGTAAGATGTAGGAGGACCACGACAGGCCCTGACAAAAACACACGCAGAGTTAAGTCACACTTATGATATTCTCCAATACACAACCATCAACAGAACAGGAATCATGAAGCTTCAGTAGTTTAAACAGGTTATGTTCGGGTCCGAAACTTAAGTTTATAGTCAGACATTTTGAAGAAATAGGTACAAGACCATTCACAGAGGATAGCAGTCTAGCAGTAGATAAGAAATCATTCAGTTGGGAGCAATCTGTTGAAGAAGAGACAGGTATGGTAACTGTCAGGTTATCAGCATATTTGATGAAATTGATACTAGCTGAAGATGGTAAGTCATACAGAAAGAAAGAGACAAGACCGGGGGAAAGGTTGGTAATTAGAGGAATGAAATGAGGTGTAGAGGTTCCCTCAGTGTACAGTATATTGTTTACTTTCAAAGAAATAGGAATACAGCTAAGTGATTATTCAGGACTCACTATTTGTCCCATCTAGCTTATTCAGCAAAAGAGGTCCTGAGGTCTAGTCTAAAAAACCGCACATGATATACTTGGCATTTCTATCAAGATTATAAGCAATATTGTGATACAGGACAGCAGCGGCATTCAAATTGATCCTTTTGCTTTTGTATACAAATTGATTTGGATCTCCAAATACCTTTAATGAGAGTTCAGTCACGGGTATCATTAGATTCTCCATTACTTTCAAGAATGAAGGGGTAACTGTGATCCAACGGAACTCCAGTGAGTAATGTTGTTCCCATTGAAATGAAAACTAAGCACTCATCACTAAGAATATCAGAGTGTAATCCACTAGGTCACAGAGGCAGTTATCCATTCACAATTAAAATAAAATTGAAAAGTAGATTTGATTTTATTCCATTTTTTGAGTTGACTACCTTTTTCTGTTCAACAAATTCAAAATCTTTATTTTTAAGTTCAAAAAAGAAGAGTTTCATGGTATAATTTCACTTTCTACCAGTAATTGTTATGATACTGACTGATGATTGAAGGTGAAATGAAAATTTGAACTGCAACCAGATTCAAAGCAGCCACCACCGGGTTTCCAGCCCTATGTTCTACGAGGTACAGCAAGGGGGCCGGAGACCCGGTAGTCATTGGTCCGAATCCGGCCACAGTTCAAATTTTCATTTCACCTTCAGTCATCACTCAGTATCAATACTAGTCTGCTAAACTATGGCTATCCTAGATAGTTAAATGATAATTGTTTTGATGTTCAATTATTAATTGTATAATGTACAAATTTTTTCAGTCTAATCGATTAAGAAGAATAATACTCAAAGGGATTCCATGGTGATGTAGACCAATAATCTTAGAATTCAAGATCTATATCTGTTTTTGAAATGTTGATTTCGAATTAGATAAAAAGTTAGTGTCTTTTTATGAGCGAAATTGTTTTGTATTGTTTGATCAAATCTATGACTGATATGTCCGTGTATTATCTGAATTTAGGAATTCTAATTAGAAAGGAATTATCTAACCACAGATTAAAAGTAACATTTTATATTCCTCACTCTATATTTCAACTACACTGTGTATGTCTCTAAAAGATACTGAACACTTCAAACCTTAAAAGAGAAAACTTTCTGCATATCTGACTATATTTGACAGAATTCCACTGGTAACTTGTCATATTTCGAAATTTGACAAAGTTTGAGCTTACACCCAGTCATTACCTCTCACAATCGTGATCGCAGATATTACAGATTGACTACTTGAACCACAAATGACTCGAAGAACTAGGTAGTATAAAGATCAGTTAATTATTGTGTTTCAAACCAGGCATGCAATACACTGAAGGTTGCAAAAAATCGATTACAGTATGTTTAATGTTTTGAAATATACCCTGATGACCACACTTCATTTCTTCTTTTATCAACAGATAGGTTTTTATCATATAAATACTGAATCATTATTTATCCAACGTAATTTGACATTCCCTTAAGCCAAATCTACAGTATTTTGGAGGATCTGATGATAAAGTACGTCAGTCCATGATGAATACTACCTTGAGATAAAAAACCCACAAACCTCAAACTATATTATTGTATAATGCTGAAGATGGATATCCTGAAGTTCCAATGAGAAAGCGTAAAATGTGGAGTCAACCAGTCAGAAGTCAAGTGGATGCCAACTGAAGAACTTGTTAGATAGTCACGCTATATTGCAAACTGATAGAAGTAGAAAACTGCGGACCCGGTGGTTGAATGGTTAACACGATCGTCGTGAAACCTGAAGGCACAGAAATTGATCCTTGATGGGGTCGTGGGTATGCACTGCTGAGTAAACCCCTCACTAGGACATAACAGATGTCTGGTGTTCCTCGGTTTTAAATGGTTCTCCAACTGATCTCAGTCCAAGATGAATACCATCTTGAAATATAAAGAATACTGTAGCAAATAAGCAGCAACTAACTTTTTTTTAACGGGCCTTCATTCAGGTGTATTATATTTATTTGATATTATTATAGATACATCAACCACTAACAATAGTGTATAAAGATTTTAGAATGAAATGGACATATAGACCTACTCCAATATCATTCGAAGTATTTTCAACATGTTAAACTTCATAAAAAATTTTCTACTGATCGATAAGTTTTTAAATTATTAACTGAAAAAAAAATATGAATTTGTTTAGAATTCATTTCAAGTAGAAACATATAACTTCGGATCATATTAAAGTCTTTATTTTGCTCACAGCTACATAGGTGAACTACAACTTATGGTCACAGAGATACATGCACAGTATATATATATATATATATATATATATATATATATATATATATATATATATATATAAACAGTGTATGTAATTAACTGAATTCATGAGGATTTTTGAATGGAACTATATTCATAAACTTAAAACTAGTAACTATTATAAAAGTCACTTGTATCAATAAACTAGTGAATACATACACATGTCTGTTCGAACCAATATAATTACACTGGTTCTCTTTACTATCCAATAGTTGGTTAAGGTTATTAGGTAATACATAACATTACAGTCATATAACATGCATACAGGTAAAGAAGGAAATACATGAGATTCAGTGATAACTTTTGAAGTAATCAATTAAAATTAATAAATAAGTGAGGAAATGTACAACTGAGTGGTTGTTAGATCTTTTTTTCACTTTCGCTTTCCTATTAGTATCTTAAGGACAATAACAAGAAAATAATTTGTGCTTAAACAGAAAGAGGTAAGATACAAACTCAGTTGATAATTTTTTAATTATGAAAAGACATTGAACTTTGATTCCGAAGAAGGAGTTTATGGATGGATTATTGTTAAAATCAATGCTACTATGTGTTGTAGTGGTAGTAGTAGTAGTAGTAGTAGCAGTGTCAGAAGAAGTAGTAGTAGTTATATGATTAGTAACAGTACCAAAAGCAATGACAGTGTGGTCACAGTGTTAATCAGGCACAGAGGAAATGAAAATATAAGTCAAAATTTAACAGTAATATTGCCAATTTACCTCTAATTATAATTTTTGACTATTGAAGTATTGTAAAGATTATAGGGATAACTCGAAGAAAATCTCATTACGATTAATGCTGAATTAAAAATGAATTGAACAAGTTAACTACAAATTGTCTTTGTTTTTCTTGATAACGTTTTGTTTATCTTGAAAATTACAGACAAATAGTGTAAAAAATAAGGATGGAAGAGTGTTTATTTATCATCCACACATACTTCAAAGCCTGTACTGGCACCAGCATTCTTCAAACCAACTAATCGACATTCAACTAAGACCACAGTATTCTTTGTTATATTGGGGAATTGAACAGCGACTAACGGAGCTTGATAATTAGCCATTCTTAGATATGGGAAGTAGTTATTTGATATTAAAGCACTAAAACATAGAAAAATGAATAATAAAAAAATAAGTAAGAAAAATCGACAGAAGACGTCAAATATTGGGTACATCTGCGTCATTGTTACCGATTTTCAGCCCTTTCACTAAGAGTTTCCAATCACTAATTCGCACTTTCTCCAGAACACCAAACATACAGTCTAATCCCTTCCCATATAACTTGCACAAACATTCAGAGACTTCGGCTGTAGACCCCACATCTTGATCTAACCACCCTGAGACTTCTTCCAACCTAATTCAGGTGGTGGCTTACATGCGTGGAACATCCACAAGTCACCTCAGTTGGTTCAGATATACAACCTTATCGACTGACTTGCCTACTTTGAGGCAATACCTTTCACCTAATCTCTACAATGCTCATATGATGATTCCGCCATACACAAGAATGCTATGGGGACACCTATGATGAAACACCTGAAGTCTTTCATATCTATTTTTAACTGATATATCTCACAGCTACCTAGCACGACAGAACAGACTGCAGAACAGTATACTCGTCTTTTCATGAGCAGGTACTCGGATACTTTGGCAACTGATACCAGAGATGATGCATACTGGTGAGTTTTAAACAGGCTTCTTGTATCCAACACCAGTAGCTGCTGTCATTTCAAATGATGATTCTCCCTTAAACGGCTGCTTGGTTTCTTGTACAGAGCTTTAATCAGAATAATATACTTCTGTAGCACTCCCATCACAATGAGACACTGACACAACACCTCACAGTCGGCTGAGTCGAATGTTGGCTTCAAGTCGAGAAGTAGAGCAAGTATTGGCCATTGGTAAATATGCCTGTGTTCGAGAACTTAGCTGAAACCTGCGTGCTTTTCTCGAGTTTGCTATTCTCAAGCTCCAGTTAGGTGTCGAATAACCATGGACTCAGGATCTACGACACGATATTAGTTAAACGGATTCCCCTATGGTTGTCACAAGAGGACTTCCCTCCCTTCTGTTAGACTGGAATGATATGTGAAGTAGACCAGTCTGATGGGACTATCTCTGGTTCCCGTACACTACCTTGTTCTTCCATCACACTAACTATCAATTCCCTACCTTGATCCTGATAGACGTTTTGTGGCAAACCGTGGGGAACCGCTCCTCTGCATTGTTTCAGGTTAGAAACAGCCTTCTCAAAGATGATGAGAGTTAGAGGATTGACGTTCAATCCCCGTTCAGGTTCGCGCTGATTAACTGATGTACTGCTGTTGACCAGTTGAACTGTACTTCAAAGTGTTCCGCCTTACTTTCTACTCGTCTCTCTTCAGACGATGTAAACGTTTCGTTTTATTTAAGCCAGAGTTTTTAATGAGCCTAAATAGTTGCCATATGTTACCCAATACTACTGTTTTCCCCATCTCTTTTGCTTTTTACACCCACCACCGGTCGCTGTCATTAAGAAGATTCTTCGTGAGTTTACGTTTAAGTTGCTTTGGTTCTTCATTGTGGTTGGAGCCAGCCAGCTGGAATCAGTTTGGATGGTGTTGGGGAAATCCAATGACCTTAGAATGTAGGCTATCAACTGTCTTCACCGCCGTTTCCACAGCAGATCTAATACCACACCAGGTTTCCTCAGAATGACCATTTCTGTCACGTTCAGATAAATGCTTAACTGTCACCTCTTTTAATACACACTTCATGTTCTCACCTTTTAATCGAAAACGCGTTGGCCTAACTACCCCGTGTTTCTGTGTCTTGTAAGATGCAGACATACATAAGCTCAAAATAACGTATGGTTGGGGTCCAAACTGGTACTCCAAAAAAAGTTACAATCCATCAACGATTCTCCCCAACGGTGGTTTATGACAATATGTTTTGTCTGTGTCCATCGATGGTTTGATGTTGATGTACACCATGTAAGAAAGTATCTCTTGTCACGCTTGAAGTAACAATCCAAGTCAACTCATTACTCCAATGAGACTTCTATTTGCTTACATAGGAATTCTGTAAAAAGTGAACAAATGATCATAGTATCCTCTGACATTCATTCAGTACTACACTGAATTTGTAAATTCATACCGAACATGGTGCAATACATACCTGTATCGAGTATTATTATTCAGCTATTTTATAGGTGAATTTTTAGTAACAACATTTTTTAGCTATTGATAAGTTAGTTTAAATACAACAAAGCAATATTCGCATCAAAATGTGGTTTACATTAGTAGTATTCACTAGATTTGATTAAAGATGTTTTGTATAACAGAGTTAACCTTAGTGTTGTTTGCATTATCCTGTCGTCTAGTGGACCAAAATGATTAGTCTTAATTGACAAATGAACTGCTGCGTGAATGCTTTGATATTCCCTGTGTTTGAATTATATATTAGTGACGGATGATGGCTAACAATGGAATCCAGCAAAAACACTAAAACTATACTCATAGCACAGGAAGTACATATCACGACTTGGTGGCCTAGTGGATAAGTGATCGTCCCGGAGTTCCAGTCCTAATGAGGACAACATCGCTCACTAGGAGGTGGGTACATCTGGCTGACGAGTCCCAAATGAGATGAAATACGCATCCTGGATTCCACTCCTAGCCACTATGTATAATTAAGAGTTAACCTTAGTTGTTTAACTTTTGAAAGTTAAACAAATGATCATAAAACAATGTAGGTAGTAGCCTTTAAATCTGTTTTAAAATGTTATGCAGAAACACTTACTACTTCTTCCCATCCGGTGCTATGTGTTCTGGAAAATAGTTTGGACTACCAAGAGCTTCTCTATCGAATTCATTCTGAAAAGTAATAATAAAATTAATAGTCTAAGTAAAAGCCTGTTCATTGCACTAGTGCAAAGTGTACCTCTTTTAATCATATCATTACATGTACATCACTACTGTTTTTATTATTATAAGTAGTACTAGCAGTGAAAAAACACTGACAGTAATGCTTATAATAATAAAATGAAGAAGAATATAAACATGTTAAACTGCGTGCTCATTACTCAGATTTAACTTCGTTTTTTATGCCACCTTAAATACTGTCAATCAAGAAAAACATCTTTCCGGTTCTATAAAAGTTATTTGACCTGGTTATTACAATCGTCAATAAACCATCTGAGAGTGGTAACGTCGTCAAGTCAACTATTCACCAAGATGGGAATGAGTCTAATCCTTCCATTCTCTATAAACTACTTGGTGAGAAGGCTAAAACCTACCTAAAGTTAACTTTTACTCACTGTTTCAACGAACCCACAGCCTGTTATGTTCAAGAATAGGTACTGTGTAAAAGAGGGGAAAACTGCATCAAGGAGTTCCAGAAATCGTTTAAGACTGAAATAGGAATTGAGTTCAAAGAAAGCGTGAAAAACCTTAAGAGTATTATTTATATAGTCTGAAATGCTGGGAAGATTGATTAGCAAAAGTTGTGCACCTTAGTACAGTAGTTTTTGTTACCGTTGATGTTTTTCCTAACATGAAACCTCATAAATTCGACTGGACAGAACAGTTCATAAATCAAGTCGTGATAACAGCAATATTGGTAGAGAAGCAGTACCAGTGCTTGTTTCAGATCTGAGTGTCACACTCAAGTTGATTGGAGACAATATCACTTGCCAATGTGTACATTTGTATTCTAAAGTCTCATCAAGTTTAAAGATTCAGACATTAAATCCAGATTTAAAACCTAACTCCTTTCCTCAATTTGGTGTTAAGAGAGCACTAGATGGCTATTGAACTAAGGATCTTATAAAATATGACTATCATTAAATGCTCTAGGATTATCATATCCTTGACACTTTGGACAATCGCTGATTGAGATTAGTCAGAGGTTATCACATCTGCTTCAGTATTCCCAACTGTTACCTCAATTAATGTAGCAAGTAGTAACCGGTCACTGTATTTAAGTACGTTTGATACTGATACATCGTGACACTGTCCTTACTTTCAAGTAATTTGCAGTATCCCAGGAAACAAAAAGATTTGGAGGCCGTATATCAATGTTGTTTTAGGGTTACAACTGCTTAGGTGGCAACCGAAGAGTATCTAGAGACCAAGTTAACTGTTGCTTAAAGTTTACTACCCATCATTTTAGTCGTCTTTAATGCAAGGGGGCCATAGAACATACTCTTCTTATCTTTCTTTTGGAGGTCCCCTAGGTCTTTGCTGCTGCTTAGATAATATACTGAGGATGGTACTAAGTTTCTTTAGAATGCGTAGTATTGTCGTGTCCAGGTTACTATCTGCACAGTTCTTCTTTAAGCATACTCCTAGAACTCACACCAGTAAGTCAAACTAGGAATGATTTTTCAGGTATTTGTTCCAAGTTTCTGACCAACTGCAATTTTTTCTAAGACTATTCTTAACACATGATTGGTGAGACGGTTTGTGAATTTTCATTTGTCATGCATTTAAGATATAAGTGTTTGCAAATGAAACATGGCAAGTCTTTCTTACTGTTATAATCTTAACTAATCATCACGTTGATTTTTATTCGTTAGTTTTATTATCATTAATTCGTCCACTAGTATAACCCCCAATATGTACCTGTTTAGTAACTATTAATTAGACACTGAAATATGACACTTCATATGATTCACAACTTGTCAGATCACTTTCTCGTCTTATAGCTTGTTCTGTAACATTGTTTGCATTTAGAGTGAATTTTCTTCCTCAATTCTACTTCTATGTCAAAGCTTAACTCTCAACCGATTATTCCATAATAAATTGTTATGCATTTGTAGTAATTATAAATACGATTGTACAACTTTATGGAATGATTTCATCCAAAATTTCTGGTTCTGGATAAGATAAGGATAGCGAAAATACCATCAAAATAGAGAATTATCTTCACCGAAGTGTCTTTGTTCTAGTCTATAACTTAAAGACTGTCATTTGTAGTTATTCAATGTTGTTTTTAAAAGGAAGTATCAAAAATGTTTGTTTGATTAGTTAGTTGCATTTTATCAGTTTCCATATCATCAGATTAAGATAATTTTTCTCGCATAGTTTAGTGATGAACAAAAATTGTAACAGGAGAAGGGTTTTCAAGTTATTTTGAGCCTTCGTTGTACAGACTACTTTCGGTCAATGCATAGTGATCACCTATAACCACATTGTAAATAGTTTCCATAGAAAAACAAATACGAAGTAAAAATTATTCTACTGACAAAACATAATCATCATCATATCATTTATACACACATATTTAACGTATACTATGTGTATTACTTACTGCACCTTTGCATTCAATAGCAGGCGATGGAATGACAGCTGGATCTTCAATATCAGGTAGCCAGCCATAGATCTAAACCAAATATCAATTTGGCGTAAAGACATACAAGAAACATGAATTTGTAACGAGAATATTTTCAGAATATACAATTAACAAACAGTTAGTTAAAGTATTTCTGGTTCTAGCTCTCATCCTAAAAAGCTTTTGAGACTACTGCTTACCGTAAAAAGATCAAATATAGTACTGAGTCTTCCTTAAAAGTTTCGACATGCTAACAAGTTCAGCCTCTCAAAACGTTTTGAGAACTTCCATCAAAGGTGAAATGAAAATTTGGACTACAGTAGGATTCGAATCAGCGACCAACAGGTTTCCGGCCCGATGCTCCACCACTTGCTTACTTCTATCTGGTGAATTAGCCATTTTTGACTTTTATTCTTAAACTTCTGTTATCTTCATAATCTATGTTTTCGAATTACTTACAAATAAGCAAACTGTCTCATTATCATACGTATTTCTAAAACTCTCCATTTTGCTTTTATCTACTTCACCTACTATACCAATCACCATCAACGAAAGAAATCTGAAGGAAGTTGTCTCATTTGCCTACCTTCCTAGGCAACATCGTTTCACTTACAGGCAGTGGCACAGATGAGAATGTCAAAGCCAGGATCGGAAAGCAAAACAGGCCTTCATTAACCTGACGACCAGTTAGAAGAAAGGTAACTTTGTCAAACTCCAAAAGAAGGGAAACCTAAGTCTTTGCAAGAACTGGCCGCAGAATCATGATCCTGTCCCTGTTCACCCCAAGCAAAATATTTAGCCGCATCATCCCGGAGAGACTAAAAGATGCTCTGGATTCAAAATTACGACAGGAACAGACTGGGTGGCTTCAGGAAGAACAAAGCATGTGCGGTTCAAATTGCACCGCTACGCTACGTATCACCATAGAACAGAGTATAGAATAGCAGTCAACTCTCTACCTCAACTTCATCAACCTTGAAAAGGCCTTCGACAGCGTTGACCGAGAAGTAATTTGGCAGGCAACTGCTTCAACACTACGGTTTTGGTGCCACAAACCTTTATCAACCTCATTCAACAACTATATGAAGACGGCACATGCCGAGTGATTTACAATGGAAAGCTCATTGATGCCTTTGAAGTGAAGATAGGGGTAAGATAAGGTTGCCTACTATCACCAATGATCTTCCTGATTGTCGTTGACTCGACTAAATCATGCAATAAACTGTGAGGAGCATGATGATAGACATACGCTGGCTGGACCGATGAAAAGACCCTAGCAGATTTGGATTTGGCCAATGGTGACTTATGTATGATGTTGCACAAACTCAAAGATCTGCAGGCGAAAACTAACCAGTTGACAGAAGAGGTAGGGCAGAGAAGATGGGACCTCAGTGAACGTATAGAAATTAGAGGTGATGAAGATACCTAACCAAAAACAACAACAACAAGCACCAATCACCATCAACAGGAGAAACCTAAAGGAAGTAGTCTCTTTCACCTACCTAGGAAGCATCGTTTCAACTACAGGCGGCACAAGCACAGATGAAGATGTCAAAGCCTGGATCAGAAAAGCAAGACAGACCTTCATTAATTTGAAACCAGTGTGGAGATCTACTGCACTGTGCTCAGCATAAAGAGTGAACAAGATCCGGATTTTCAACACTAATGTCAAGTCAGTGCTGCTATATGGTTGAGAGACTTGGCGCGTTACGAAAAGCATTTCCGGTAAACCGCAGACATAGGCCGACAGCTGCCACCTACCCTCACTCGATAATAAAGATCAGGTGGTCAGAAAGAATAAGCAACAAAGAACTCTTGCCGTACAACGAACCAACGAAGTACTCATCGCCCAACAAATATGCAGAAGAAAGTGGAGATGGAATGCACATAAACTCAGAAGACCATCACGCGTCAGGCCACGCTCTCGAGTGGAACCCCGATGGGAAACGACGAGTTTGGGGGACGTTGGTGACGACATAGAGGAGATCATGTGAGGAAGAAATGAAAGCTTTTGGGCAGTCGTGCAGCCAGGTTGAAAAGACTGTAGTGAAGACAGTGAAATGGAGACATGCTACTGAAGCCCTATGTTTAACTAGGAACCTAAGGGACAAATAATAGATAATAATAATAATAATAATAATAATAATAATAATACCCGCCTGTACATGGTTGTTTTGTTCAAATATAAAAGTATACCGATTGCCTAATTTATTTTAAACTGTCTACAGAGAAAGAAAAACCATGGAGTAAATATGAGCTCCATTCATTTCACAAATCTTATTCTTCTCAATGTACTGAAAATAATCAAACGAATACCTTCTATAAACACTGGGAAGTAAATGAGCAGTAATCTAGCACTACATTTTTTCTGTAGCTAATGAACTCTCTTGAACCCAGTCTCTTACGTATTTATTCAACCATTTTGAAAGCACAAGAAATGTATAATTGATTGGTATATGAATGCATAAACAGAAACTAGTCAAATACATGACCACATGGAATTTCATTATCATTGAAATTAATTTACTATGTGTAGTGACTAATTCCTATGCAAAGTCACTTGATTTGTAGCCTCATATTATTTAGTAGTGCAACTGGCGATAAATATAACCTTCAGTAATAGTGTTCTGAAACTTATATAACCTTATGCAAGCACCATTTCAATTATGTTATATAGTAGTTCTATTAACCAGTTATAGCATATCAGTTATTGTATTTTTTTATGGCAAATAATAATCCAGGGGGTGGACAAGTTTTATGGTGTCGTTAGCTGGTCTGAGTTGTAAAGCCCACTCAATCCATTAGATTCATATCCATAATGAGCCTATTTGATAGACAGCTCAAACGTCGATAACATAATCCATTGCTCGTGATTATATCAATGTGCAATGAATACGGGAATATACTTCTTGTTTTACTCTTGCCCCCGTCAAATCTATTTTGATAACATGTGTGGAGAGAATACCTTGTACAATAATAATAAAGTATAAATGGTGTAATACAAGATGTGAAGGAGTGGAATAATGTAGAATGACAATAAGAATAAAAAAATAAACTTGAGCTTTCTAATTACCAGTTTCTAGATATTCAACAGGCTACAAACAGTAAATGAAACACCAAGGAACCTTTTGGTAACCTTTTTGCAGCAGTTTAATAAACTGAAAAACCTAAAAGAATTAAAATACCAGGGTATGACTTCCACGGTCTCACAAAGCTTTAGTTACCTTCTTAACAAAGATTTTGTAGTCGCAAGACATGTTTATTAGCATAGGAGTAAAACTTGGGCAGTGGTCGATTGTAATTCCATTGTAGTGTGTTTATTAGATATATCACACAGTGAAACAGTATCATTTATTGGATAACCTTTCGGACACAATTTATTGTCCATATTCATATCACGTAACTCCATAACTTCCAGATATATTCCTAATTTTCTCTCCTTCTCTGTGATGACAAGGGTTGTAGAATTCTCCATATATCTGGGACAGGTGCAGAATAATTTCTATTACTGCATGCATTTGATGTTGATTCGACAAACGAAGATTCGGTTATCAATCTCTCCCTCTACCCAACTAAGTTAGTTTTTAACGCTGTTGCTCTATCCCACCCTACTGTGTGATTGCGTGCAGAGCTAGATTTCTTATCTTATTAGGATCTACTAATCTTGATTCAGCTAAGTTTTTGTGCTCTGTTATTCTAATTAACCTTGGTCGACTACTTTGATCTATGTATCTGACCTCGCAGTCATTTCAAAGGATTTGGTAAACCAGATACATCACATTTCTCAGATAATCTTTGTCTTCTAATTACATTATCCAAATTCATAAAAGGGACTAACTGTTTCAAAACCAGATTATTTTGCCGAACTACATCGATAGGATCTTTTAATCTACAAAGTTTGTTTCTAAGAGAGCTTGTTGGCTTAAATGCCACTTTAACCTAACTAAATACATAGGTCAAAGTAGTCGACCAAAGTCAATTAGAATAACAGAGCACAAAAACTTAGCTGAATCAAGATTAGTAGATCCTTAAGATAAGAAATCTAGCTCTGCACGCAATTACACAGTAGGGTGGGATAGAGCGACAGCGTTAAAAACTAACTTAGTTGGGTAGAGGGAGAGATTGATAACCGAATCTTCGTTTGTCGAATCAACATCAAATGCATGCAGTAATAGAAATTATTCTGCACCTGTCCCAGATATATGGAGAATTCTACAACCCTTGTCATCACAGAGAAGGAGAGAAAATTAGGAATATATCTGGAAGTTGTGGAGTTACGTGATATGAATATGGACAATAAATTGTGTCCGAAAGGTTATCCAATAAATGATACTGTTTCGCTGTGTGATATATCTAATAAACACACTATAATGGAATGACATGTTTATTTTAAGAAAGTCGCAATCTAAGTACTCGAAATTGTTTGTTGGACGTAATTTGGTAAATATTCCTTAATAAGGGGAATAAATCGTTGGATAACTATAAGTTTAAAATTCATAAACTTTCTGAGTCTCCTCACTTGGTTGATCAAGTTACAGCGAATCGGAGAAGTATAGTAGAATAAAAGCAAAAATAATTAGCCAACAAAACCAAACCTTTCTAATTCATTTTACTGAAATAACTGCAATTAACTGTAGAAAATTTCACTTTAGGGCAATTTACTTGGTTGTGGCTAGCAGAAGAATTTAGGACGTGCATTTCGTCCTATTTGGGATTTATCAGCTAGATGTACCTGTACCCCAGTGAGTGATGTTGTTCCCACGAAGACTCATATCTCGTACCCAACAACGGAGAATTACAAGCATATCCATAAATAGTAATAACTAATACCCGTTTTACAAGAGGTGGCTATCGTGTCATAGTGGCATAGTGGATAACGCCTTTGCGGTTGAAGTGATGGGCATGAGGTTCGAGTTTCAGTGGGAATAACGTCACTCACTGGGGTCCAGGTACATCCAGTTGACGAGTCCCGAATAGGACAAGACATGCATCCTGGATTCTTCCGCTAGTCACAACCAAGCAAACTATCATAATTAACATTCAGGCAATATCGAGGCATCCACATAGAAGCCATTATGCTGATTGAAGTTGAACAATTCGATTTAGTAAAACAATAGAGAATTGCAAGCGTATCCATAAACAGTTAAAATGATACTTTTTCAGTATGCTGCAATTCAAGCTGAGAACACCAGCACTGAAATATATATGTAAAGAAATCTTATAACCTCGCCTGGTTAACTAGTTCACTAGTTACTAGCCGGTCCTAAGCCCGGGTAAAGAGGGAAGGTTGGGCATAGGGCCAGCAACCCTACCCCGTAAAACAAATCTAACCGCTAAAAAAACTTCAAAGCACAAACAAAATATAAAAAATAATGATAAAAATTATTCCTCGCTGCAATCAGAGAGGCGAAATGACGCCAGTTGGTGAAAGCCTGCTTCAGGGAAGCCAATTGGCCGATGTGTCTTCTCTCCCTCGATGAAAGCGAAAGTAAACGTGGGGACATGGAATGTCCGCACCATGTTTGAACCCAGCAAGGCAGCCCAGATTGCAAATGAGATGAGAAGGTATCACATTGAAGTGCTTGGGATTTGCGAAAGCAGATGGAATGGGAGTGGACTCTCCAAACTGTCAACTGGAGAACCAGTAATCTACTCCGGTTACCCAGATGACAACCACGAGCACGCGGAGGTAGTGGCTATCATGATGTCTCTAACAGCATCGACGGCCTCATGCAGTGGGAACCAATCTCCTCCAGCATCAGGAGTATGACAGCAAGGTTCAACTCAAAAGGAAGGAAGGAAGGTCACAATTATACTATGCTATGCACCTACAAATAATGCAGATGATGAGAAGAAGGAGGAATTCTACAGACAACTTCAATCAACACTGGACAATGTGCCACTCCAGTTGGCGATATCAAAATTCGAATGGGCGACATGAATGCCAAACTGGGAGCAGACAACACAGGAAGAGAACTAACCATGGGTCGAGAAGCACTCGGTGAGGTGATGAATGAGAATGGAGAATTGTTTGCAGAATTCTGAGCATTCAACGATTTGGTGATTGGAGGTGAGGCAGTGTGTTCAAGCACAAGGATATCCACAAAGCGACATGGATTTCACCAGACACCAGGACACACTAAAAATCAAATCGACTTCATCTCAATGTGAAGAAAATGGAGACGCAGTCTACTTGACACAAGGTCAAGAAGAGGAGCAGATATAGGTTCAGATCACTCACTGTCTAGTGCAAGAAACCTACCTTCCAAATCAAGTTGAAACCCTTCAAGGAAGCTGGTGATAGACCACAATTCAAGTACAACACTCGGAAACTGAAGGATGAAACTACAAAGGAAGTCTTCACGACAGCCATCAAGACAAAATGGGAGATATCGAGGAACATCCCTGAAGAAACCTGTGTGGAAGAACACTGGAAGTCTTTGAAAGCTATGTGGAAAGAAACCTGCACAACCGTATTAGGAAGGAAGAAGAAAGAAGATAAGGAGTGGATCTCAATGGGTACCTGGAAGCTGATAGAGCAGGGAGAGGAGAATGGTGAAACAGAAGATAAACCAGTGCAGTGCAAGGATGCACAACGACAAGAGGGACTGAGTACAATTTATAAAACACTACACTGGATAAAGAAGTGAAGAAGAGTGCATAGAAAGACAAAATACACTTCTACGAAACACTGGCAAGTGAAGCAGAACAGGCTGCTGGTTGGGGAGATCTGACAACATTGTATCAAATAACCAGGTCGCTATCTGGGAAGAGATCAACGCAGATGAAACCAATAAAAGATGAAGGAGGAAATTTAATTACGGAAGAAGAGAAACAGAGGAAACAATGGGCTGACCACTTCAAAAAGCTCTTGAATAGACCACCACCACCACCAACTGCACTTCGTCTGGAAATACCACCTGCAGACCGGCCACTGAACTACAAGTGAACATAAATCCCCCAACAAAAATGGAAGTCCTGAACGCCATAAAGCTACTGAAATGTGGGAAACCAGCAGGACCAGATGGAATACCGCCAGAAGCACTGAGAACAGACGCAGAGACAACAGCGGACATGCTCACACCACACCACTGTTGCAGACGGTTTGGAAGGAAGAGAAGGTGCCTGCCAATTGATTGGAAGAAGGGTTACCTTGTCAAACTGCCGAAGAAGGGAGACCTCAGTGTTTGCAAGAACTGGTGTGGAATCACTCTCCTGTCCACCCAGAACAAGCAAAATATTAGGCCGCATCATCCTGGAGAGGCTTAGGGATGCACTGGATTCAAAACTACCACCGGAACAGGATGGCTGGCTGGCTTCAGGAAGTACAAATCATGTACAGACCAAATTGAAACGCTACAATACTCATCATCATAGAACAGAGTATAGAATCACTGGCAGTCAACTCAACTCTACCTCAACTTCATCGACTTTGAGAAGGCTTTTGACAGCGTCGACCGACAAGTAATTTGGAAACTGCTTCATTACCACGGAGTACCGCAAACCTTTATCAAACTCATTCAACAGCTATATGAAGATGCCACATGCCAGCCAAGTAATTCATAATGGGAAGCTCAGTGATGCTTTTGAAGTGAAGACAGGAGTAAAACAAGGTTGCCTACTATCCCCCATGATATTCCTGATTGTGGTCGAGTGGACTGGATCATGCAGCAGCAAACAGTGGGGGGCGAGAAGATTGAGATACGCTGGCTGGACTACGGAAAAGAACCTAGAAGATCTGGATTTCGCCACCGATGACTTGTGCCTGATGTCACACAAACTTGAAGATGTACAGGCGAAAACTAACAAGTTGACAGAAGAGACAGCGAAGGCGAGGCTTCAGGTGAATATAGAGAAGACAGAAGTGATGAAGATACCGCACCAACAACTCCAACAACAACAACAACAACAAACTCCAATCACCATCAACGGGAGAAACTTAAAAGAAGTAACCTCCTTCACCTATGTAGGAAGCACTGTTTCAACTACAGGTGGCGGCACTGACGAGGATGTCAGTCAGAATTGGAGAAGCAAGACAGGCGTTCATTAGCCTGAAACCAGTGTGGAGATCTTCTCCACTGCACTCAGCATGTGGAACAAGATACGGATTTTCAACACCAACCCAGTCAAGTCAGTGCTTCTGTGTGGTTCGGAGACTTGCCGGGGCGTTACGAAAGGGATTTCCAATAAACTACAGATATTCATCAACAACTGCTTACGCCGGCTCGCTACTGACACTGAAGCTCATATGGATTGCCAGAAAGAATAAGCAACAAGGAACGATGGGAACGAACCAACCAAGAACCTATCACGCAACAAATATGCAGGAGGAAGTGGAGATGGATTGGATTGGGCATACACTGAGAAGGCCGACTGAGGACATCACGCGTCAGGCCCTCGAGTGGAATCCCCATGGGAAGCGACGAGTTGGACGTCCGAGGGTGACATGGAGGAGATCGTGCGAGGAGGAAATGAGAGCTTCTGGGCTGTCGTGGAACCAGGTTGAAAAGATCTCAGAGAACAGAATTCACTGGAGACGTGCTAGTGAAGCCCTATGTTCCATTAGGAACCCAAAAGACTAATAATAATAATAATAATAATAATAATAATAATAATAATAATAATAATAAAGAAATCTTATACTTTCGTGAATTTGTACTTAGGTCGATTATGAATACTCCATCAAAACGTTTGCCTTACACCAACACATCTCATAGACAGTAGTTCAAACAGAAAACCATATATCATCAGATATTCTCGTAATTATAGGACTACTCTCAACAACAAAAAGAATGAGGTAAATAATCTCAAATATAATCTTGTGTTTATTTAAAAATATTAGACTTCAACCGTTATGACCTTTTTATTTTAATTTGGGGGTTTGTGAGGAGTTATTGATTTTTCAAGTTGGTATTCACCATGGACTGATGTCAGTTGGAGGAACATTCGAAATCTAAGACTATTGGACAGCCGTTTCATCCTAGTATGAGGCTCCTCAGCAGTGTGCATCCATAACCCTGCCGGGGGTCGAATCCATGACATTCAGGTTCCGCGGCCAGCATGTTACCACTGAGCCGCTGGGTCGGAATCCAATGGTTCATATTTCCAACTTCTGTTAGTTCACGACATAGCACGACCATTGTTGAATATAATCACTGAGTATTCGAACAACGATGTCAATACACTGATAACCATCACATAATATCTTAAAGCACTTCATTAACTGTAAAGACGAAAGTAGGAGAACACATAGCTTGAAAAATACCACGAAAAGACACTAACTAGAAAGTATTATCTTGATTCACGTTATGAGCACTTATTTATGGCAATTATTGCGGAGAACCTGATGATTAAGCATCTCCAGATGGTCTCTATGAATATTTGGAAATGAGTGTTTGCTAAACTAAACTATAATCTAATCATAGTAGTTACACCCGAAGCAATAAGTCCACATCACAAGTTTGCCGAAAGGTTATGCTTCCTACCTTCCCATATCATATATCTACTCAGAAGTAAGCTTTTAATGAAATATAAATCACACTGTAAGATAGCCCGGAAAATATAAGGTAAAGATCATGTCAGCTATAATTTTTAATACCCAGTTACTAAATAATATTTATAACACAGTGCATAAAATAGATAAGGGTATACAATGACTTACCCGATTAATTTTTAGGTACAGACATAGTTTCCCATCACTAAGAGCCCTTTCAGGTGTTTTACATTCACCTAAGACGTCAAGATTAAAGCTACAAGGGACATCAGGATTTTGTGGATGTAGACCATTTGTACCACAATTCTCATTTGAGCCTTTTGAATCATACCGTTGGAATAATGCGTTAACTTTCCTAATATACGGTTCATTAATTGTTGAACTAGCCACAGAAACTTGAACAAAAGTGTTGAAAGGGTTTGGCCTTGCTGCAATTTCAATCCCTGAATAAAATTCACATTAACATGAACCAATTAGATGATGCCAAATCGAGTAATATTAGTACAGTTAGGTAAAACAATAATACTGTTCTACAAAATATCTTCAAACAATCAACGTGCAACATACTGGTTCAACATACTAAAATTTCCTGATAAATAACTATAAGACCAATTGTAGAAAAAACACAAAAATACGGTTTTTAAAAAATTAGGTTACAAGTAATGCTTGGCACGGAAAAGAAAGTATTTAACATTGTTAATGAATTATTCTCTCTTTTGCACTAAACACTGAATAAGGTCAACAAATTTCCTTGATTCTATCCGGAGGTTTGTGAAGATTTATATACTGACTTTAGGTTGGACATGGGTTGACATAAGTTGGAAGAACATTGGAAACCTGGAAGCACTGCACAGCTATTTCGTCCTAGCATGGGACTCCTCAACAGTGCGCATCCATGGCCCCTTCGAACCTGAAGGTTCTGGTTCGATCCCTGGCAGGATCATGGGTGATCACTGCTTAGGAGTCCCACATACTAGGAAAAAACAGCTGTTTAACACTCCCAGGTTTCCAATGTTCCTCCAACTAATTTCAGTCCATGATGAATGCCAGCCAAAAGTTTTTTCGACTTAATAGTATTCCTTTTGAATAAGCTTCTAACTAGAAATGCATGGTGGCAGATGTACATTTTAAATTCAGTAATTTACGACAAAGTTGCTTAGTCAACACACCACTGTCTAGGAAACTAAAGTGATAAAACGTAAGAATAGTCATTGAAAACAAAATTTATCTCAAAATGTATACTAAGAGCAATTGCCGTTAAAAGAGAGTGGAACAATAACCATAATAATGAAGTTTTCACTTGAATTAGAATATGTGTAAATTAAAAGAGCACAATTATAACCATTATTGAGAAGGAGTTTCCATGAAACAAAATTTACGTTTTCAGCCATGACACTTCACTTACACATTAGCAATAAAATAGCCTTTGAAGTCCAGATAAGTTGCATAGATGGCTTTATGTGATTAGTTCCAAGATGGCAATGTCTTATCAAATAGAAGGTTCAATACAACGTTTATCAATAAGACAGGTTTCAACTGTTAACTTTACTCAGCTCTTTAGAAACATCAAAATTGACAAATTTTAATGGTACATAATTCCTTAAAATCAATAGATTAGAGTTCGAAGAAATTAAAGATTGATGCTGACCTTCATAGTTTTATTGGACTTGCTAAGGTACACGGTCAAGCGCCCATGCTATCTGACACGTTGTCGTGTTACGTCTCTTTGTTTGTAATCGATCCCGTAGATAGCTAGTCGAAACTCACTGGTATTCTGACACGACGTCACAAATATACTATCTTCACCTGATTACACTAATGTGTTCTTCCTTAGTCTCGCATTCGTGAGTGTATTACAAGTATAAATAATTAGTGATTGGCTTTTACCTTTGTCAAGTTCGTACAAGGACAATTCCTAAAAGATAATCACAGAAGTGGAAACGGGTAGTAAATTATCCTAAACACTTCATTGAATCATATGTCGACTTGAAAATATTAAACTTCAGCGAAAACACTTGAAACAGACAGACAATGTCCACTAAATCTGTTTAGTGGCTCATCTGTGCAAAAGTTTTCATTCTACTCAACGAAAGCTCTTTCAATACATATTTTATCAAAAAGATCTTAGGCAACTACTTTTAGTTTTTTTAATCTTGGCAACTACCATTAATATGTTAGGCAAGAAATGGTCAAATCTCATCATGATCAAACATGCTCGCTTCTAAATCATGCTGTCAAATTCGAGTTTCACACTGAAATTTTGATTGTGTCATCTTCCATAGGTGAATTGAAGTTTCCAGTGCTTTTCTTATTAAATTTTATGTAGTCACAGTTCACTGTCGATCTCATTGGTGCTATGTTTGTAAACAAATAGGAACAATTTTGCGAAACTAAATTTTTCTCTATAAATTTGAGTTCTTCAAAGTAGCTGCCGATGTCTGAAGTATGTGAAACACTGCAATTACTTAAATTGGATCTGTTTGGTCCAAGAAGTTAGATGAACCTTTCGCCTTTGAGTTACGAAGTAAATCACCTACGTCCAATGTTTATCAGTGGAACCATGCAAAATAAGATATGGTTTAAATGAAGGATTTAAGAGGTCAGTATGCTCAGAGGTGACCATCGAGCCTCCATACATTTTTCCTCAGGTATTCTATATTTAATTCTAAACATCTTAGATTCCATCCGCATAGTGTGATTAAAGGAATCCATTTTTCAGTGATAGTGTAGTGTATAATTCCTTGGTATAAGTGTCTTTATCTCAATTCCGTTAATCTTTTCGTTTATGAAGTATCTTTTTCTCTTCTTCATTCGCTGCTTTCTGTGTCACATTTTCCAAGACTTACAACAGCATTTAAGTGCAAGAACTTAAGTATTCGGAGTTTTCAAAATAAAAGAGGAAACATGTTTTGTATCTTTCTATTAAACAGCTCAGTGCGTTCTGATGAACACAATAAAACTTTAGTCCATTTGACAAAATTTACAACTGCGTACTGGTTGACTGCTGGAATCAAGAACTTAGCATAAATCGGTATAAGTAAAGGATACGCAAAGTCTAGATGCAAAAAGGCTAATAAATTATGATCAGCAGAGACTTACATGCATATCAAAATCATATTCTTGTGCAAATAGCTTAGGGTTATCCTTCCAACAACATCAAAAAGTCTTAATTCACTAGTAAGTAAAGAGAGATATTTCTGTTCTGATTGTGTTGCTTCTTTGAACCAATTCTTATGTGTCTAGTATATTAAAAATACTTTCAGAACAGTTAATATGTGTATTGAAACTTGCATATTTCCACAGGCATAAACCACCGTTTTTCAGGGATTAATAGTTAATCCTATGGTTGTGAGAAGAAGTGCTAAGTCAGTGACTTGGCTAAAGTTACGATAACAAACAATCTGACATCTTGAAGCCGTAAGATCTATAAAACTACTGGTTTCAGTCAAAAAAAGGTGTCGTTTTAACAGGCAGAGGAAAAAATTATTCCTTCACATTTTCATCTGCTTAATGAGAAAGGCTGGAACTCATCGTGCTAACCTTGTTGTTTAGTACATTGCTTTGGTACTGGGTCTCTGCTTAAATTCAGCTAATTTTGTCAGAGCAGAGTAAACTAATCCTTAGAGAGTAAAATCAGACATTTTACATATAATTTAGTCATGATTATCACGACCAGTGAAAATGATCTATTTTCAGTAGTTCTTATGAAATTGAATGACCTGTACAGCTGCTTAATACATTTCAAGTGAGGTATTTGAAAGCATCCAGAATTATCCAGTGGACTCAACGCGTGAGTTATTAGTGATTCCGGTCAACAATTTCAGAGATACATATAGTTGAAGAAAAATATACAAGTAGTCACCAACAATAGGAGTACTTCATTGAATGAGTAAAAATCAAAACGTAAGTATTTCTTTCACCACTTTTTATATATTCACTCATTGTTTCGGCGGTTTTTTACAGTCTGGCTGTTATTTACGTGCCTGAGCGGACATCTGAACTGGTCATGGAACCTAGCAACTTTGATGTGAACACATCTTTTGAAGCTACTCTATAAGGACATGCCATTTATGCAGCGACAGATCCTGTGGTTGGGAATTTAACCGATAGTATTAATTCAAAGAGAAAGCACCATGTTTTTGCAATGTAAGTATATCTATCTTGCTCAAACAGTAATTAAGGGGTGAAACCGCACTTTGCTGTCTGTAGAATGCATAGTATTTCTTTTATCCATTTCTGAGGTTTTGAAAACCCACTTGTCAGAGTGGTTTCTCAAGGTACTGACTGTGTTGCGAATATTACTGCTCATAACTTAGGAATGAATTCAATGAGTTGCCCAGAATTTTACATGACCAGCATATAATTGATACCTTTTAATCTGTTTAACACCCAGGTTTTGAGTAGTTTTCGCTCGAGTATGAAGTAGTCTGCGGAATAGTGCACAGATTTACTGGTAACTAAAGCAGTGAAATCATAGCTTATAATTACCTTATATGTGTGGACTGATTAACTGTGAAATACATCAGCGGTTAACCTATCCCAAAAGGAGGGAAACATTGTCATCCGTTGATAAACCACGAAATCCGAATCTTGCTAAGATCCAAGAAGTGTTGAAGTCTTGTCATCCACCTCGGTACTCCTAAAGTGATGAAGTATTACAAAGAAGCCCGAAATAAATGTATCGCTGCTAACCCACGGTATCGAATATCCTCCGAAACACGTCTTAGCCAGGCTGTACTTCAATATCCAAAGACGTATTTTTCCTATATGAACAATAAGAGTAAGACATCGTGGTATAGCCGCCCTGATCAAAGCGACAGAAACCGACTGTTTAGTTGAAGATAAGATAAAAGCAGAAGCCATGGACAGATATTTGGCTGAGGTCAATACAAAGGGTCCATCCGTGGACACTACTTCAACAGCAAAAGGTCTGATATTCAGCAGAATTACTCTGGGGATATCGACCACAACGACGTCTTTAGGACATTAAGTACTCTCGATGTAGAAAAATCAACGGGACACAAAGCAGTCCAGAGGGCTTGAACTCTATGTAGTCGGCACACTGACTACGATATATAAACTGTCTCTCAGATAAAGCATACCCCCCCCCTGTAGTTGGAAGGACGCAATGTCACACCTGTCTACAATGCAGGTTCTAGACAGAGCTCATTGAATTACGTACAGATAAGTTTGATTAATACTGTGGTAAAAATCCTACAAACAGTGATCGAGTAGGCCATTATAATTCACCTAGACAGCAACGCTCATAGAATGGCCCTCGCGGAAATTTCCCTTGCCTGACGAACCTTTTCGCAGCAAGAGATAGTTGGATTAAGTCAAAGGATGATAGGATACCTGTAGATGTCATTTTCATAGACTTTAGTAAGGTGTTCGACAAGATACTTCATTCCAGGCTGCTGGGGAGACTGAAAAGCTTAGGAATCACCGACAATCAGACAGTTAGTTCTTGGTAGGAGACAAAGTAACGATCAATTCTCAACTATCCTCTTGGAAGTCGGTAGAGAGGTGAGTGACAGATGGCATAGTCCTTGGCCCCCTGATGTTTCTCCTACACGTAAATGAGCTGCCAAAGATCACGAAATATTTTATGGTTCTCAACGCTGATGTAAAAATCTGAAGGGAAATTAGGAACGACGAGAATATACGTGTCCTTCAGGCAGACCTAGAAAGCTTGATTACCTAATCAGAGAAATGGCTGATGGCAAGCAATGCAGTAAAATGTGTGACGATGCAAACGGCGCATGCAGAAGGCAACAGCTACGATATTGGTGGATTTTACCCACCATCAGTACTGACCCACAATAGCCTAGGAGTCACATTGAGTTGGGATTTGAAAACCACGGCACAATGTCGATTCCTCACAGCTGGTGGTTATAGGACGCTTTAGATATTAGGCAGAAAGTTTACCAAAATAAATAGTGACATGTTCACCATCTTATACATACCCTTAGTTAAGTAGAAAACTGTGCACAGACCACAAATCTTTGTCTGAAAGGTAACGCAGACCTTCTGAAAGGAGTTCAGATGGCAGCCATTCGTATTATCCCTGCAATTGCTAGCCCAACCTACAAAGACCAACCCAAGAAGCTGAATCTTTTTTTCTTTATCCTGTCGCAGACAGATGGTAGATCTAATAATAATAAACAGCATACTAAGAAATGACTTGGGACCCAACCTGTCTTCTCTTCACCTTCCCACTAAGTCGCAACATCTCAGACGACATAGACGGAGAATGCAGAATTTAAGAATGAACGTATTCTTCTTAGAGTACTAGTCCTCGCGTAGAATAATCAACTCCTGGGACCGACTACCAGAAGAAACGGAGTCCGTATCATCAGCTGATTCCTTCAAAAAAGGACTGGAAAATCACAGCAATCTACTTGGGAAGGAATGATTTAGGCTGGCAACCTTGCACATTCAAAAAGAAAAACTGAATCTGAATCTAAATATGTATCTAGGAATCAAAAGCGAATACCTAATGAATAGCATCTAGGAATTCCGTGGTGTTTTTACCTTGATGAGGTAAAGAATACCTGACATCAAAAGCAGTATGGATGACGGTCAGAGTTAGTCATGCATCAAAAAGGATGAAAGTATTTAGAAATCTCCGTATTCACCATACTTCTAAACTTATTCACAAAATATGCAACATATTGCCGATTGAAGAAGGCATTTCTCAAAATATGAACCCGCAGTCATACTTATTAACAGGTAAATTTTAACACTGGGATGAATTTCTTTTAGTAAATTCATATTTAAGTGTCTGATATGGAAATAATACACCTGAAATTCAGAAAAATGTAAAACCATTTTACCTGGCCGGCTTCGGAGAATACTCTGATCTCCCGTCAGTGAAGGAACATTATTGTCAAGATAACCAAAGAGAAAAACGGATAACATTCCGACGAAGAATGCGGCCAGAAATGTATACGATATCACATAGAATATAAAGATGAGGACTAAAACGACAATTTAAAATCATGAGGTTGCACAAACCCCATTCTCTACAAGTTCTCCCTAAAAATGCCTTCTTCTCTGGATTGTAGAGTGTTTTCTTAAATCTTGAGAAACGGCTTTGCTGAACGCCTTTCTTCATCTTCTCCTTAAAACTCAGCACGTTCTTCGAATAGCCGCTGCAGGAGTTTATAAGCGAGTTGCGACAAACGAAAATGAAACAATAAAGAAAAACAAATGTTTGCATAAGAAACCTTATGATGAAAGTTTTACAGAGTTGATGTTTGTTTCCAGAAATGGGATGCAAAGAATACATATTAGCAATAAGATTTTCTGAGCTTCGGCAGTCTATCATCTAGTGTCCTTTAAGAAGACGCTTCAAAGGAGTGAGTGGAATTAAGTATCTCGTTCCCCGGCCAATAGGCAGGTTAAATTACCAGCCTTAAGGAAGACGCATACCACGATAATCGACTGTATTATCGTATTAGTAATATATAAAAAGATTAACTGCACAGATTCCCATGTAGCGTTACACACTTCCCCAAAACCAATAGCCTAGGGTTTGACGACTTTCGACATTGATGCTGACCTTGATAGTTTAACTGGACTCACTAAGCTGAAGGCACCCGGTCAAGCATCCTCGCCATTTGGCACGCTGTCGTGTTACGTTGCGTTGCTCGTATTCGACTCTCTAGCCAGTTAGTTGGAACGCATCGGTATTTTGGCACAACCATCCAAATATACTATTCCATCCGACTACGCTATCGTGTTCTTCCTTGGTCTCGTATTCGTGGGTATATAACAAGTCCGAATAATTAGTGATTGGTCTTTGCGTCTGTCAAGTTCGCACCAGGACAAATCCTAATTGGTGAGCCCGATGTGATCAAATATCCCGACCAATAACAAATATTGAATTGGTGAGCCTGTTCCATTTTATATTTGTTTATTGTTTTCATTTCGATAACATTTATATATCCATTTACTACACTTTCTCATGTCCGACCACACTCCCAAGCTTATTCGTATTAAGCCGACTACGAACACGATCCAACTCGTGCCATATTGGCCAGACAATGCAGAAACATGGTTTCTGTATGCCGAGGCAGATTTTCGAGAACAGGGTGTCTCAGATCCTCATTCTCGATTTCTTGCTGTCATACGGTCACTACCGCGAGAATTAAACAGGTATGTTACAGCACACATGTTTAATCCTGAAGTAAGTGACCCTTATGCACTTCTTAAGGCCGCACTCTTGAAGAAAGGCGATCTCACAGATCGCCAGCGTCTAGACGAATTGCTTCGTAACATCGAGCTAGGCAGCAACTCAGCTACTGAAGTCCTCGCACGCATGCGAGAAGTAATCGGTGCACGAACATTTGACGATGGTTTTTTCCGAGAACTATTTCTCTCGAAACTACCACAACCGGTGCAAACCGTGTTGGTGACACTCCTGTCAGTCCCACTCGATGACCTGGCAGCCTCAGCAGATAAAATACTGGAGATTTCTAGCAGACCCGTCTCCAACGTATATTCTATCTGCGACAAACCACAGCGCCAGGATTCAGAGGTGACCAAGTTGTGCAACTCTGTGAAACAGTTGCTACGATCTCGAAGTCCTAGATCACGTAGCACTTCACAGAAACGCACCTTGGCGCATCGCAGCAAGTCGCGTGGTAGCCCTAAAACTAAACCCAACAGGGTGGAAAACCCTGAATGGTGCTGGTTTCACAACACTTACGGGGATGAAGCCAGAAAATGTCGTAAACCATGCCGTTTTAAGAAGGACACGTACTCGGGAAACGGTCACGCCGGCACGTGCTCACGGCAACCGTAGCCGGCGGAAACAGCCGTTTGCTCTACGTCAAGGATTTTAAAACGAAAGTCCGCTACCTCGTCGACACCGGCGCAGAAGTTAGCGTTCTTCCAGCAACGACAAAGGAGCGTCATCTTGACCCATCCTTCAATCTTCAAGCAGCCAACGGCAAGGCAATCGCGACATTCGGGAGACAGTATGCCTACCTCAACTTAGGTTTACGCAAACCTATTCACTGGATCTTCCTCCTTGCTGACGTCTCTATGCCCATCATTGGCATAGATTTGCTAAGCCATTACGATCTACTTGCAGATGCTCGCCGTCGACGACTGATAGATAACAACACAAATTTATCTGTTAGTGGCACCACCTATGTAGGTCCAAGTTTAGCCATCGCCAGAACCATACAATCGGGGGACGCGTCCTACCAAGCAGTTTCGGAGAAATATCCAGAGTTGCAGCAACCGAAGCCCATTCTTCCGTGCATAACCAACAATGTTATGCATCGCGTCACAACCACGGGTCCACCTGTGGTATCCAAAGCGCGCCGTTTAGCCCCCGATAAGCTCAAAACGGCGAATTCAACCACATGCTCGAACTTGGCATTATCGGACCGTCAAACAGTCCTTGGGCATCGCCATTGCACATGGTTCCCAAAAAGGATAGCAACGACTGGCGCCTAACCGGTGATTACCGAAGGCTTAACGCCGAAACAACTCCGGACTGCTACCCGATACCTCGATACAAACCGTCGTACACTTTGCCTTTTTTATATCAATTTTTATTTACCATGTAATGAAACTCTAAAACAAAACGGTGAAGATAAGCGTAAATGCTTATTTTTCGATATGTTTATACATAAATAATTCCCGTTTTTGCGAAACGTTTTCATGGTATTAAAGACTTTTATTGATATTCCAGGCGCAACGAGCACTGGACGGAACGTCATAAGGAACTGACGACCGCCATCGACGTCTAATTCGATTTATTGTATTTTATTTATTTAATTGCCACGACACCCTAGAATAAGTTCAGACAACCAGGCGCCACTTCAAGCAGTGAGCCCATCGGAAGAGTTTAACCAGTGGAGAAACCACCGGGTTTTTACTTCCGGCTGGTATCGTCTTAGGGTCCTCACGAACCCACTAGGGGGGTGATCTGCAGCGTCACACACTTCCACAAAATCAATAGCCTAGGGTTTGACGACTTTCGACATTGATGCTGACCTTGATAGTTTAACTGGACTCACTAAGCTGAAGGCACCCGGTCAAGCATCCTCGCCATTTGGCACGCTGTCGTGTTACGTTGCGTTGCTCGTATTCGACTCTCTAGCCAGTTAGTTGGAACGCATCGGTATTTTGGCACAACCATCTAAATATACTATTCCATCCGACTACGCTATCGTGTTCTTCCTTGGTCTCGTATTCGTGGGTATATAACAAGTCCGAATAATTAGTGATTGGTCTTTGCGTCTATCAAGTTCGCACCAGGACAAATCCTAAACCCAGACTATCGTGATAAAGGAAATTAGGGGTGTGATAAATTCATTTTGCTTACTTTTAACTCTGATGACAACTCAAATGAGCTCTTACCAGTGAACAGAGGCTGTACTGCACTTTCATGACACCAAAATGTTATTAGGTTTAAAATAACCAAATAGCCACTTAAAATATCCCAGCAATAGCCGAGTAATCTAATACGGCGTCGACAAAGGACCTTGTTCCTGTAGGTTTGCCTCGACATGCAGATATCCGCCCGCCGACATGCACCATTTTTGCATCATCCTTGCTTTAATTGGCAGCAAGTGGCCCATAGTCCCTAGCACCCATTCATAATAATTACATTTGTTCTTTAATCCACGCTCAGATGTGTTAAGATTCTGCTTGATATAACCTCTTTACCCCTGAGTGATGAATAAACTGTTCTTTTGAGCATGTTTTACCATGTGACTTGTCTCCTTATCCGTCCTTTGTTACCCTTGCGGGCGGGTAACTTACCGATTAGTCGGGTTCTGGTACACGCTGACTGATGTAAGGCCAGTTTTGGTGGGCAGTAGTGGCTCCACTAACTCCCGGATACATAAGTGAAAGTGCTGATTCATTGCTTCCTAGTATCTGATCATCATAAGGACGGTACTGGTGTAATAAATTTCCCTGGAGAGGCTACAATCCCCGTCCTCTCCACTGCCTATCTTTCAATAAATGCTGCACTAGCACGTAGAAACAGGTTCCATGAAATCATCTGCATCACAGATTGTATTACATACAATTATGGTGCATTGTGAACGCGGTCTTCTGGGACGTTTACCATCGCTCTTTATGAGATGTAAGGATATGCAAGCAACAAACTGACAGATTTAAATTAGGACATCTCGATGAATTTTCCCACATTCGGATACTCCATGTATGCGTATTCCAAAACACAAATAGATGAAAAGTTATCGGTGAAAATTAGGTGTATTGGATTTCCTATTAACAATTCTGCTACAAAGTGTAATACTTTTGTTGAGGTTAAGAAAGTGAGTTCATGTATGCCTTCATATATGATAGCCTCTGAAAGAAAGATGTCTCATCTTTCCACAGGGCACTTTAACAGAGCAAAATTTCTATTGGTTGTCACTCCTATAAACGGCTGGTACTCTTGGTGAATACTTACGTCCATATTCTACTAAATAGCAATCGTTAATACGCTGCATACTGACAAAATTTGCTTTGCCGTAAGAGCCCATCATGTCAAGCTGTCTAACCATTCTACCAGAATCCACTGAAGGATTTTGGAAGGAATCGTGAAGGTTAAAACCCCTCTGTAACTCTTCGAAGTTTTCAATAAATAAGTGAATCAACAAAAAATTTCATATAAAGAGCCCTTACATGAGGATGCGAGTGTAAGGATATCATAGGGCTTGTAACGGAAAACTGACCTGAAAATCCCTCCTGGTCACCCTTATTTGATTGTGTTGACATTTATTTTAACGTTTTTATCCTCGTTATGGATGGTGTACCTTTGACCCTAGCCGGTTCAATGTTATTTGCTTGTTTAACTGTCTTATTTGACTTTGCACTCAGTATTTGCCTTTGTATGTTTGAGACTTATTATGAATGTTTCACTTTCCTACTATGTGACGCTGGACTGTCGACAAGGTGATGTTGTTTTACTGAGCCCGACATTTTGTTTTGGTTCAACTTACGGTTGTGCAGTGATTTGACTGTTTGTCTTTTGACTGTCTACTGGGAACGTTTGTTTGTTGATTTGATTCCTGTAGGCAGAGTTTTGATCCCTTTTGCCGGGAATATTCCTATTGACCGACAGGTATTTAACAGTTGTATTTT